ATTGTTGTTAAATCAGTCATTAACTACTAACATGACGCTTACGTGGATAATAATTGAATGTCACGTATCAATATGAGTCATGTGAATATTAAAAAATTAAAAGATTTAAAAAAAAAATTGGGCCTTTCCTACCTCAACCCCTACTCCCACCCTTCCTCCTCCCTCTTTGACTTCACTCTCTCTCTCTCTCTCTCTCTCTCTCTCCGGCAAACCACCTCTGAACATTCCTCCCAAACCCTAATTTTCTCAATCCCCAATTCACCTCCAATTTTTTAACCCACATTTCAATTCAGCCTTCCCACCATCGATTCATTATTGACAACATCACAATTTTGAAGACCACAACGATACCCAGTAGGCTTGGTAAAGGGGTCGTGTTTGTCGTGTTCGTGTTGTTTTCATGTAACATCTGTTATCTTAATGGGTTGTGGTGTCACACTCATTATCTTAACGGGTTCTTTACATGTCGAATCATTTTACCCAATAGGTAAAATGACCCGATCTGTTATGACCCGTTAAGAAAAAAAAAATTTCTTCTAAATTTGCACATACCACATTGCCACATAAATATTAGTTCGAAACGGAAAAAAAAAAAAAAAAAAAAAAAACCAAATTGAAGAAACAAAACCAATCTTAATTCGAAAACTAATTTGAAGCAAAACCCTATATTTTGAAAGTAATTGGAAAGAAATAACAATTACCTCGATTAGGGCTCGAGATTCGCTCGATCTAGAGAAAGAGAGAGAATCAAAGACAAAAGTAGAAGATTGACTGGTGTTGGGTTACTAGGTTGTATGCAGTGACAGTGGTGTGGTGGAGGGAGACTCAAGAGGGTGGTTGGACTCATGGGTGGCCAGAGTTGAGGTTCGAGAATGAGATTCAAGGGTTCAATTCAAGAGAGAGAGCAGCTACTTCGATACAAGCCTTCGAGAATGAGAGAGAGTCTGATTTAGGGTTGAGAAAAACATTGGACAACCGAGATTAAATCTCAGCTGGTCCAACGGTCATCAATTTTCTAAATATAATATATATATATATATATATATATTTTTTTAATTTTCAATTCAGTTGGGATTAAATCCTACTGTTGTAATTATAGTATTTCTTTTTAGTGGATAAAATTATTAAATTAATATTTTTAATCGTATAATGGGTTACCTAATACATGAACCAACTCGTTATCTTAACAGGTGCTTATCGAGTTACTCGATAACTGTCATGCCTCGGACCTGGAATCGTGGAAAGGTTTGATTCCTCACCCAGTGCATGAATAAAACTAAAATAAATAAAAAGAAACTCAAAGGAGTTTGACAAATAGTTCTTTGAAAATGATGTGGAAGGATGAATATGATGGTAGGCTAGGAATGAATCGAAAGCGACTTATTAAATATGCAAGTCAAATATGCTTGGCTCCAAAATCACCATTCGACTTCACATACATCTCACAAATCCCTTCTCTAAATTGATCTGCACCCTCATATACTTGGATTTGACTTCCTGATCACTAAGGTGAAAGTTTTACTGTAATCTAACTTAACTCAAGTTATGAACATACAGTGAAAAAGTTGGAAGGTTGCAGAGTTCCCTCCGTTTCCTTTCTTTCTTTTTATTTTTCTCCTCTTTTTCTTCGGGTGTCCATACTAGAGAAACAATGGGAATGGGTGCTTTCCTCTTTCTTTCTTTTTTTTTCTGTTTTTTTTTTCTTTTTCTTTTCTTTTCCTTTTTTCTTTGTGGTCTAATCAAAATTTTACATGTGTGACCACATGTCAACCACAAACAAGACTAACACCCTTAGTTGGCTAGCTATCAATTTGCCAGGTGGCTAGCTCAACCTTTTGTGACTGCAGCATGTCACCCATTTATTCGTCTTCTAAACTCTGAAAATTATTCTGAAAGATACTATTACTTTCGTATTAATTGATCTTAATCAAAATACACTAATTTTTTTTCTAGTATCTTAGGCATCCAAAATAAATACTATTTTGAAACACTTAATAATTTCGAGGTTTCACATTCTACCCCTCTTAAAATAAATCTCGTCCTCGAGATTTTCGACTATTAAATAGTGAAAGATGTTTCACATTCGAACCCCCTAAACCTTATTTATTTTAAACAAATCAACACCTCACTCTATGATTTCATTCTCTGTTCGAAAAAAAAATGATCATGGTCTTTGTAAATATTGGAATCTCCAGCAGTAATCATTGGCAATACATATAAACATCATTGGTTCTTCTCAATTTAGGGGTGTCCATTTCTCCAGCTATACCACATAGACGATCCCCCAGGATTCATCCATTAGCATATCACCATCTGACGGTTTAGGGGATCAAAACCCAGGGGAATCACACAATCCCTTTCATTCTCAGGTCATCGAAATAATCTATGAAAGCCACACTCACTCTCCCGAAAGTGAGAGATTAACAATTATTATTATTATTATTATTTTACATGAATGCACCTTCATCATAGGACTCATGAAATGGTTATATATCCATGCATTTCATGCCAACAAAACAGAATAGGAAATTTAGTTAGAGTTGAGAGAGAAAGACTATCATACACAGACTAACACACAACACTAGCTACTACTATATGCAAATTCCCAATTCACTCCACAATTAGCCCCAAAATTATGGATATATAAATGATATTATTTGTTAACCACAATCCACATGAAATATGTTATTAGTCCCATATACAATCCTTGTCAAACAACAACTTAATAAAAGGGAAAAAAAATGTCCTGAGAAATCAAAATTTTAACACACATAAGAACTAAACAGAAAATCCTTGTGATCATATTCTAACTAGAGGTTTCATCAACATGGAGAACATGAAAATTTGCTCAAAATCGAGTTCTTAATCATCTACCAAGCTACCCATAATAACCAATGATTCAATCAATCTAGCAATTCATGTAAGAAAAGATAAATTCCTGGATTCCCAAAGCCACAAATAATCTCACAATCTATAAAATACTTTTAAAATTTACCTTGAATTGTAAAGCTCAGCTCCACAACTTTTTAAGTGAAAACGATTACCATACTTTGTAGCTGAAAACGATTCGTCAATCAAAAATTTTCACCAAAGTTACAAACATGGTTTTAAGAACAGCTATTTTCTATTTTTTGAGTAGCTACTCAATGAAGAACTCGAGAATATAGTATATTGTAGAGTAGAATCGTTTGCTCTGATACCATTTTGTTATGCCCCGGACCCGGAATCGCGGAAATGTTTGATTCCACGCCTAGTGCATGAATAAAACTAAAATAAATAAAAAGAAACTCAAACAAGTTTGACAAATAGTTCTTTCAAAATGATGTGGAAGGATAAATAGGATGGTAGGCCGGGAATGAATTGAAATCGACTTATTAAATATGCGAGTCAAATATGCTTGGCTCCAAAATCACCATTGAACTTCACGTGCATCTCACGAATCCCTTCTCCAAATTGATCTGCACCCTCATATACTTGGATTCGACTTCGTGATCACTGAGGTGAAAATTTTACTGTAATCTGACTTAACTCAAGTTATGAACATACAATGAAAAATTTGGAAGGCTGCAGAGTTCCCTCCGTTTCCTTTCTTTGTTTTTATTTTTCCCCTCTTTTTCTTCGGGTCTCCGGACTAGGGAAACAATGGGAATGCATGCTTTCCTTCTTTTTTTTCTTTTTTCCTTTTTCTTTGTGGTCCAATCAAAATTCTACATGTGTGACCACATTTCAACCACAAACAAGACTAACACCCTTAGTCAGCTAGCTATCAATTTGCCACATGGCTAGCTCAACCCTTTGTGGCTGCAACATGTCACCCATTTATTCATCCTCTAAACTCTGAAAATTATCCTGAAAGATACTATTACTTTCGTATTAACTGATCTCAATCAAAAGAAACTAATATTTTTTTTTCCAGTATCTTATGCATCTAAAATAACTACTACTTTGAAACACATAATAATTTCGGGGTTTCACAATAATGATCTGATTCATTATCGTGTCGTTCAGAAAACCTGTTCATTTCATATTGTGTCGTGTCGTGTTATGTCGGGTTAATAAGTCGTGTTAGAAATTGTGAGGCTTAGTACCCATGAAAGAAGGAAGCCAGGCCCGACTTGGTCGCCAAGTACAGTGCCATTTGGCCAATCTAGAATCCGTAATATGCGTTATGGTGATAAACCCGAGTGCATGGAGAGAGATGAGAAGAAAAAGGAAGGAAGGATTCTAAAAACAGTCATGATGGCGATAGTAGGAATTGTGAGAGTTACTGAGAAGGGGATGGTGTAGAAATCAAGAAAGGCTAGGTGGACGATCGTGGATAGGAAGTTGGCCTCACTAATTGTCCATGCAAGCGTCAACGTCATCAGTTGACGGCTAATTTGATAGTAATCTTAATGATGTATAAAAGTGTCATAAAATTATGATTTCATGTACCACTCTGCGATGAAAAAATTGTTGTACCAAATGTTGAAAATGAAGAAACTTCATCATAGTAAACTGTAATTAATTCTTTTTTAATTTGCATGATGGTAGGTTTTATCTTAAAATTTGACATTCTTTTTAAAAATAAAAAATAAAAATAAAAAAAACTTAAAAAATGACTAGAAAGTTCAAGGTTTCTCTGTTTAATGAGATAGGATCCTCCCTGGATCTTCTTTGTGATGATCCCATCATGTGAGGATCCCGGGGATCTTTTAATCTTGTCTATTCATCGTACATCATGCAGTCAGTTTTCGTCAGGTATTGTTTGTGTTCAATTTTAAATAATACAATTTAAAATGATTCCTAACCGTACGATGTACGATCAAAAGACAGAATTAAAGGGATCTTCGGGATCTTTACAAAGAAGATCTGGCGAGAATCATGTCTCATTTTTAATTAACCATTTGGATGAAAAGTCAAAGATAAGAAAAACAAATAGATGATATGCAAATTAGTAATACATCTCACTATAAGTAAAAGCCCTGAATTTGCTTAAGAAAAAGGTATACGCAAAAACCATGACTAGAGTTTCAACTTATTGTGATAAACTATGCTTTCTAGCTTGCCTTATCTTGTATCTTCGGCTAGCTTCATCACAAGAAAGTGCTTTTGCTTCTGCCAATTCTACTGAAGCAGAAGTACTTCTCAAATGGAAAGCTAGCTTTCAAAACCAAACCCAAAACAACCTGACCTCATGGATTAATGCAAATGAAGCCTCATGCAATACTTGGATTGGTGTTTCATGCAACTCAGCTGGATGCGTCAACAGATTAAACCTCACCAATTCTGGTATACAAGGTACTCTACTTGAATTTCCATTCATATCTTTGCCAAATCTTGCATATGTTGATCTAAGCCTCAATGAACTTTTTGATCAAATCCCACCTCAGATTGGTTCCCTCACCAAACTCATCTATTTTGATGCATCTTACAATCAAATGTCTGGAAAAATCCCATCCGAAATCGGTCTTCTAACAAATCTTCAGGTCCTTCACCTGAATGCAAATAAGTTCAATGGCACAATTCCTCAAGAAATAGGCCAACTTAAATTTGTCTATGAGCTAGCTCTAAACTTAAACAATTTAGAGGGTTCAATTCCACCTTCTGTGGGTAATTTAAGCCAATTGACTTCTGTAATTCTCTTCGGAAACCAACTTTTTGGTTCTATTCCTACCGAAATAGGAAACCTTTCGAACTTGGTTAAACTTTACCTGTTTGACACCTATGTATTAGGTCTAATCCCTCTGAGTTTCGGAAACTTGAAAAATCTAACCATCATGATGTTGTACAACAATACCCTTTCTGGTTCTATCCCAACTTCTTTTGGCAATTTTACAAACCTTGTTTCTCTCTCTGTCTACGGTAATAAAGTTTCCGGAAATACTCCTGAAGAGATTGGAAACTTGAAATTTGTTGAGGATGTACGCCTGACTGCTAACCGATTTTCTGGTTATTTGCCTCGAGATATTTGTAGAGGTGGACTGCTACAAAGGTTTACTGTAGAAAATAATGAATTTACAGGTCCAATACCGAAAAGCTTGAAAGGTTGCAAGAGCTTAGTCAGAGTCCGTCTTCAAGGGAACCAACTCAAAAGCAACATATCTGAAGACTTTGGTGTCTATCTGAATCTTCAGTTTGTAGAACTAAGCAACAACTTATATGGTGAAATCTCAGACGTCTAGGGACAGTCTCCAAACTTAACAACCCTACGTTTTGCGGGGAACAACCTTACTGGTAGTATACCATCTGAGATTGCCAATGCAACTAAAATTCAAGAACTCGATTTTTCTTCGAATCATCTGGTTGGGGTGGTTCCCAAGAATTTGGGGAGATTGACTACTTTGGTGAATCTAAAGTTAAAAGGCAATCAACTTTTGGGTTCTATACCCTCAGAATTTGGAGCATTCACTCAACTCGAATATCTTGACTTGTCCACCAACAAGTTGAATGGCTCAATTCCAAACACTTTCGACGAATTGGTCAGCTTACACTGCTTGAATTTGAACAACAACAATTTCAGTCAAGAAATTCCATTTCAGTTGAGGAAGTTATTTCACCTGTCACAGTTAGATTTAAGTCGTAACTCACTTGACGGCACGATACCATCAGAAATTAGCAATATGCAGAGCTTAGAGCAGCTGAATCTTTCTCACTATAATCTTTCCGGTCTCATTCTAGCAACGTTTGATGGAATGCGTGGCTTGTTGAACATAGACGTATCCTACAATCACTTGCAGGGTCCCATCCCCAACAACAAAGCATTTCAAGATGCTCATAGCTTTGAAGATTGTGTGGAAATGTTGTAGTGTAAGAAAAACATATATACTTATAGATTAACTCATTAGCCAAGAACATAAGGATTAATCAACTAAATCACAACCCTTTGATCATGTATGTAATGTGAATATAAGAACAGAAGCAAATACACCAGCACATACCTGCAGACATGTTCATAGATGAAGATGCCATGAAAATCTGCACAAAACCTTCTCCTCTCTGCAAAACTCAATGTTCTCCAGATTATAGGCAATTGGAACAAAATAAGAGCGTATCTTTGCGAGAGCAGGGCCTTGTGATTTTATACTACAAGTTTCGGATCACCTATAACAATCCCACAAGGAATATGAAACTAAATCCTTGTACAGTCATGAGTACTAAACTCAAGTCCGAAAAAGAATTCTAATCCAAAACAAAATTGGATTCATTCTTATAAACAAACTGAGACTTTATTGCTTGACACTAATCTGAAATAACTAAACCGTGTGAATCATACTCATAATCTAACATGTAGGTCTAGAATCCTGCAATAAGCATGTCTCAAAAAGAAAAATCGTGTTTGCAATCGTTTTCCCTATCTTGGGAACAGTTTTACTTGCTCTCCTTGCAATTGTCTTCATCAAAACAAGAAGAAAGAAAGAGCCGGGAACAAAAAAGAGTGATATCCATGATGAAATTTTTTCAATCTCTCATTTTGATGGAAAAAAAAAAATTGTATTGGGAGATCATAAGAGCAACCAATGGTTTTGACTCCATATTTTGCATTGGGAAGGGAGGATCTGGAAGTGTCTACAAGGCAAAGCTACCATCAGGCAGCATAGTTGCAGTGAAGGAACTCCATCAAAAACTTGACGGCGAGGAGACATCGCAGGAGTTCCATAATGAAATAAGTGCACTAATTAATAGACGACATCGAAACATTGTGAAACTTTGTGGTTTTTGTTCGAATTCGCAGCACTCATTTCTGGTCTATGAATACCTAGAAAAGGGTAGTTTGGCTTTAATCTGGAGCAAAGAAGACGAAGCAAAAGAATTGGATTGGAGTAGGAGGGTGAGAATTGTAAAAGGCGTAGCTCATGCACTGTCTTACCTGCATCAGGATTGCGTGCCGCCAATTGTACACCGAGACTTATCAAGCAGCAACATTTTGCTAGATTATGACTACGAGCCTTGTGTTTCAGACTTCGGTACTGCTAAGCTTTTGAATCCAGACTCATCGAATTGGAGCTCACTTGCAGGCACATATGGATATGTAGCACCAGGTAAAGTAAAACAGTTAAAATATAAAATGTTGAAATTTAATAATATAAATTTAAACATATACTAACGGCTTGCTCTCCCTTAATTTTTATGCAGAATTAGCCTATACAAGGAAGGTAACTGAGAAATGTGATGTTTATAGCTTCGGAGTGCTGACATTGGAAGTGATCACGGGAAAAAGACTAGGTGATTTAATCTCATCCTTTTCGTCTCCATCTGCTTATGAAAACAAATTGCTGAAGGACGTATTGGACCAATGGCTTCCACCTCCTACACTTGAAGTTGAAGATGAACTGACAACCATTGCAAGGGTAGCAATCACATGCAGGGATTCGCAACTGCAATCGAGGCCAACAATGCACATGGTTTCTCAGTCGTTATCATTCCAAACTACAGCTTCCACTGGAGGACCAGACATCACACTTGAACAACTCATTAAGATTTAAATTGCATTTGATATTGTTTGAGTTGGCACGAAATTAAGATCGTCTTGTTTAAATATATCATATATGTACTCTGTTATATTTGTAGTTAAATTGAGAATAAGAGAGGAGTGCTAGCTGGACTCGCTCAACAGTAAGTCCCACATGTATTACCACTTAAATGGTTAGACCAAAATTTCTTATTTGGTATTTACTAGAAATTGGTGCACGCGCATTGCTGCGGGGCTAAAAATTGTATGAAAGATTATGTTGAAAGATATAATAAAAATTATGTCATTTAATACTATTTATATTGAAAAAGTTATAAAGATTTTTACATACAAAAGATTATACAGTCTACATACAGAAGATCATAGATTTTTTTCTATCTACATGCAAAAAAAGATTAGATGGAGATATACAAAAGACTATGAAACGTTGGGGCTATTTATATAACAGAAATATTAAGGAATATTGTTTCATTTACATTAATAAAACAAAAGTTGTTCACTGGAACACCAAAAATTTCCCAGCAGTACTCTCATTGCCAAGAAAACAGCCTAGGCAAGGAAAACAATTAATTACTAAAATACTTGCAATGAATTTTGACTTCAACAAATTTATATTATATAAAAAATAATTATAAAGTATGGTTACTTCGCGTTTTATTGGTGGAAAGGAATTTGGTTTTCTATCAGTTGGAGAGGACCTTTTTTCAGCAATTTGATCACTTTGTACCCACCTTCCTTCCTATCACAACAAATAGTTCATGCTTTCAAAAGAAAAAAAGTTTGTGCAGTGTAAAATGTACAACCGGAATTCTGATCAAGTATGTTTGTGAGAAAGACATGATTTAAGTTAGAATACGTAAGTTTTAATGATTTTGCAAAAGAGGTGTGATCAATAATCTTACTGAATAATGGAATAACAACTAATTTAGTTCCATAACATGAATCTAAAGACTTATCAGTAGCATAATTGACATTCCTATTTTTAAAACCAAATTATCAGGGCTAGTCCTGACCCAGTGCCAACTGGGTGACCGTTGGGCCCTAAAAATGGGGCACAAAAATTATTATAGTACTGTATTCATATATGATTCTATAAGCATATAAATTAAAAAGTTTGGTTAATTAATCAACAATGTTAAATAGAGGTGCTAGTGGTGTTATTTTCTAGTAATACTGTGGTCGAACTGTTATCGACGTCTTTTTATTTTCAATTTTTTTACTTTGTTAGATTGTTAATTTCTTTTATCTGATTATGATAACTAGAATTTGGTTGGTTCATCAAGGAGGTTAACTGGAGACGTTGGTTCCTTTGTTGCCAGTAATAATGAGGTCCCGTGTTTGAGCTAGTCCCTCCGCCTTTTTCTTTCCAATTTTTTTACTATTTTGTGTTTGATGATTAATTTCTTTTACCTTTGATTAAGACTATTAAAATTTAGTTTATTGGTCAAGAAGGTTAACTAACGGCGCAGGTTTTTGATATTCATTCCAATTCAACTTTAACCTTCAACAAAATAATATATGTATGTCTTTACCAATTTAATTTGGCAAGTATAGAGATTATTCAAAAAATAAGATCACTTTTAGACAGCTGCAAAAATTGGAACTTTCTCTACCAAATCTACAAGGCTTTTGCTCAAAAAATTGCATTGTCAAAGTCTTGTGCTAAGACACTTTGGGGGCGTTTGTTGCGCCGGACTATCTCAGACTGGATTAGCTTGAAGGACTAAGCTGGACTGGCTTAGACTAGACTAAACTAAACTAACTTAGTGAAGCGTTTGGTGCAGTATTGGACTAAGAAGCTGGATAATAACAAATTCTAATATTATATTATTTAATATATAAGTTATTAATATTTTATTATGATCTTATCTTTTTCTTCATCTTTTCCTATCATTTTCGTCCCACTCTTTTCCTCTTCTCTCATCGTCCCAACATCTCCCTCTTTTTTTCCTCTTAGACCTCTCAATTCATGTCTCTTTCTCATTCCTGGTCAAACTCCTTATTGATTCCAGTGTCTATTTCTCTGTCCTCCCTCCCTCTCTAGCTATGTGTTGTTCGAATGGAACCTCACGGCTCCAATTTTCCCGACGAGTTGCAGGTTTCCCGATATGTTTTCCGACCAACCCTCGTTAAATTGGATGAAGTTAGCACCACCAAAAAATTCATCACCATCCCTAGACCGAGATCTTAGCTTTGAATGCTCGAATCTGTCATGGATTTGAACAAGCCCAAACAGGCCGAGACTTCCAGGCCATTTTCCGGCCACATTGGACCACATTTTGGCCTCTATTCAGGTAAAATCGTAATCTTGTCACTCCCAGCTTCAATTTGGTATATTTTATATGAAAGTTGGTTGTGAAATGGATCTGAAAGGGAGTCAGAAAGTTAATGATTGATCTAGGTGACCGGAGATGACAAGGAGTCTGTCGAGAGTGGTCGTTGAGCATGACGAGGACGAGAAAGAGAATATAGTCTTAGCTAGTCCCATGGTTATTGGGGGGTCTCGCTAAGACCTCTTAGTGAAGGGTTTTGTCCATGCTAGTCCCATTTAGTCTCATTAATGTTAGTCCCAGCATGGAACAAACACAGTATTGGACTAATAGCTAGTCCAATCCAGTCCAGTCCAACTTAGTGAGGGCAAACAAACGCCCCTTTTAGATGTCAAGTATTGCTCGATTGAGTTTAGTATTTCTCGAGGTAGATTACTCCTAAGTGATTCAAAACTTGAACACCACAACTAATAGAGGCAGAGGAAGAAGACGAAGATGCCGAAGAAAAATAAGAAGCAGACAAGAAGAGAACGATGCAGATACACGTCTATTATGTGGCTTGTTTATTTTTGGCTTCTATATGTTTGGCCTTCTTGGATTTCTGGTTTGCTTTTGTCTTTTTGTGTGAAGGAAGAGAAAGAAAAAGCTACTCACACATAAAATAGTCTTAGCAAATAATTTGGAAATAATATTAAGGATGAAGAATATAATTTATTTATACCTTATTTTAGAGACGCGAAATGACGATCACACGAACTAATAGAGAGACTAGTCCTTTTTACCATATGACAATGTTCTTTTCTTTATGACCAATTGACCAAGTATTATGGTGTAACTTTTTTTTTTTATGTATGACGAACTTATTGTCCGATAAAGAAAAATACTTATTCAAATTATTTAAAAACCTTCAAATACCTAATCGAAAAGGAGAAAAAAATCACATGAAAACATAAATGTTCTTGCGCGTATTGTAGGTTTATGGGCCCTTTTTCGTTTTTGCCCAGGGCATCCAAAATGTTTGGACCGGCCTTGCCCCAACACCTATTGTGTTATCACCACCAAGTCCCTCATCACCCTTCGTTTACGTTCCCCCAACCCTTCCTAATCCACCGAAACCGTTCGAAGCCCAACGGGCTTGGTGCCCGGCACACCACCATTCATCCCCACACCCAACCCGCCCGAAAGTGTCCCAAGCCTGCCCGAAAGCATTCCAAGCCCGCCGGGCTTTATACCTAGTCCTAATATCTACATCCCAAGCCCACCTTATTTTGAGCCTAGCCCGCCCTGTCTTGTTCCAAGCCTGCATTCTTCGGTTCCATCAACCAAGCCCGCCGGTGTTCCTACCTCCCATTGTGTTCCCTCCGCCCACTACGTCACCGAGTCCAAGACGAGGCCCGACGGTGGCCCTGTGGTGCGTGGCTAGGCCATCTGTGCCCGACCCCATCATCCAAGAAGCTATGAATTACGCTTGTGGGTTGGGAGCGGATTGTGCTTCCATCCAACCCAATGGGTCATGCTTCCCATTACTGGCAAAGGAAGGTTGCTGGTGGCACTTGTCTATGCTAGTTACTGTATATCCAAGTAAGAGAGTACATTTTTCAATAATTTCACTAACACTCATTTCTTGTTTAGTCCCAATACTTTTCCATATTGCATTTTAGTTTATATAGAAAACAGATCCATTATCTTGGTGATGTCTTAAGTTATGATGGGTGTCAATTTGTTTATTATTGATATCAAAATAAACTCGATCATAATGGCAATTCAGATCCTTTTTTTCTTTCTTTTTCTTTTTCTTTTAAACTTTTCGACAAGAAAAGTACAAAATTTCAATGTATGTAACCCTAATTTGAACAAGAATTTTGTAAGTACAATGTAGAGATAACTTCTTGTTCAATCATGAATACAAACTTCAATAATTTCTCATGTTATAAATTGTTTATATATATATATATATATATATATATATATATATTCTATGCAAACTTTGTTTGGTTCAAAGCCAATGACTCAACTGATCATGACAAATGTGCTTTTGTTAGTGCCAAACAGCTGCAATCCACTTATTAATTAACATGGATTATTATCCTAAGATTTGGAAACATCTTTTAGCATTATGATAATGTTCTAATTTGTTGATCTACTAGGATATGACTCCCTATGTTTGGAATTGTATACTCCTTTATCCATATCTATGGCCACCACTTAATAAAAAGAAAAACTTCAACTAATAAAATTTGACATGGTGAAACCAAAACAGATAATTAAGACAAAGTCGGGTTAGCAGCATATTTAGAAATCACATCTTATGAGTTCTTAATGTAAAGTTCAAAACTTTTCACGATAAAAACAATGTTTGGCGTGCAAATTGTTTGACTTCAGTTGATTTAATGCATACTTCTATCAGTGAAGCATTTTGTCGAATATTTAGTGAGTTTATTGATATCTAACGAAACTTGTTGGGCATAACTTGTCAATCCCTACCTACATTTGCCGATCAGACATTTTATCAAACACTTGATGATCACCACCGGGCCTTGTACTCATTGAATATCTTTAGAGAACTTGTTTGTGTCTTATAAGTATCATACTAAATTTAGTTAAGAACTCAACAAAAACCGATAAAAACCAGAAACCAAAAGAGGATAAAAGAGGGTAAAAGAAAGAAGCAATAGGGCTAGGTCTCATGCACCCAAACAATAAATTTGGCCGTTTCCCTCCACATTACCCGCCTACTCACTGG